ATTAAGCATAAGATTACTTTTAGATTCAGAAAAGAACCTCAGACAGCTCATAATAGATTGGTTCTAAACCTAAGTAGGCAGGAAGTTAGAAACAAATTCAAGATCGATTTAGTACTAAAACTAAATGCAGGGTAAGAATAAGACTTTAATACTGAATTTTTTGGAAGATGACGAAAGGTCCATTCCATTACTGAATAGTCATCATTTTTATCTAGTTATGAAAAAACAACTTAAAAAGTCAAAACATAACAAAATTTCTTGTACTACCTATATGATTTTACAGAAAAAATGTCATATATTATCTTTAAATTTCAAGTATTTAAAATGCATCATGTAGATTAAATTTATATATGTGTGTGTATATACATATATTATATATATATATATATAGTTATGCAGTAGCCAAATTTCATAACCTAAAATACCTAACAGTTTTATTATTTCATAATAAAAAACTGAAACTAATTAATTGAAAAATCATTTGACATAAAATTTGAAGTATCTGATTGATAAAGTGACCAAACCCCACATCAAGAACCATAGCACCCTCTGTAAGATCAACAGGAAGGGTTTTAATCAAAGGAAACAGAAGTGTCACTTTACCCAGCCGACCAGGACAAGGCGCCCAGGGCAGGGCTGAGCAGGGTTTTTATTGGCAGTTAAAAGGTGGGGTAGCTACTCTTTAGGTCATGGGCTGAGAGCTGTGGGTGGCTCTTGTACTTTCTATGTAACCTGTCTTTCTGTGGAGGAGGTTGGCAGCGGGCTCTCCGTTACAGGGAGTATTTCCTCATTCTTGTGGTTAGGTTCTGGTAATGTGGCAATGGACCTTTTGTCCCTATGTTCTGGCTTTTTCAATTGAGGGGGGGACTGGTCACCGTTGGCCAGATCCATCACTTTTTATTCAAATTACAAATAATTACAATTCGTTATTAAAATTCAGTACAGAAAGTTGAAAATAGATAAAAAGTATTTTCCTGTTGACTTTACATTCTACTTATTAAGTGGAAATGTGTTTTATTAGATGATGTGAAACACTGATAAAATGTTAAAGGGCAAAGATTATTAGCCAGTACTAGAGTGATTGAACTTTTAAATATCAAGTCCAGAAAAGTTTTTACTGAGAAGATAAAATGAAAAAGACATAGGCAAAAATGCATAAAGAGATAAAATTTTGCTGCATCTATCAAATGAAAAATCTTTTACATTTCAGTAAAGAGGTAAACAGTATGATCAAAATGAACAAATGGGAAGAACAGATGCTTCCCCAGTGAAGATACAGAGATCACTAATAAGGGACACAAGAAAACATTTTATATTATTAATCAATAGTGAGTTTCAAATCATAGCTATAATAGGAAGCCATGTTGTAAGCACTAAAATAGCCACAGGAAGATGTAAAAACTGCTATGATGATGAAGATATATTAAAAAAAAAAACCTCATGCACTGCTAATAGGATTGTAAAATGGTACAATAATTAAGTTAAACTTTTAATTTCTTGAATAATTAAGTGAAAAACTACATATAACCCAGTAATTCCAACTCTAGATATTTACCCAACAGGAATGGAACTCTTGCATAAAGTCTTTTTTTTTTTCTTCTTTTTTTATCGGTACCAGGGATCGAACTTATGACTGCGCACTTGCAAGGCAGGCACTTATGCCGCTCAGCTAAATCCCCAGCCCCATAAACTCTTGCATGTGAATGTTCATAGAAGCATTGTTTACAGTACCCAAAATGTGAAAAAACAATAATTAATCAATTGGAAAATGGAGAGACAAAATGTTTATTAAAGGTTATTTTAAAATAAAAGAATCAATTAATAATATATGGCCACTAAGGAATAATGCTCATTATGCAAAAAAGAAACCAAACCCATAATCTGCATGCTATAATTTCATATGAATGTAGATCCCTGGCTTCCTTGGGCTGGGCTGGGTGTGACTGTTGAGAAGCATGAGGACTTTCACTGAGCAATGGGAAGAGTCTGACACTCACTTATCAAGATAGATTCACTATTGAATGCAATGTTAGTTCAATTGAGCTGAATAATTGGAAATAATAAATTTTATTATGTAAAAAATGTTTTAGTAAGATTATGTAGACAGGTAGCCATTTACAATGCTGTAGCCATTAGGCATTTGTGAATATTTAAAGCAGTATAGATTAATTTAAAATTAAAGTTTTCTATGGCACTATTATTTCAAATTTTCAATTGCTATATAGGGTTAAACTATGTTGTAGCCAATAGAAATATAAGACATTGTCACTGTTGAATAGACTTCTAACCGATAGTACTGCTCGGAAACAAATAGGATTACAGTGGATGGACAGTTTTGAATATTTTCTGAAAACAAAATAAGGGATGGATAGATTGAAGTCATGAATCCAATGGGGTACCAGAAAACCCCCAAGTTTTGATTTAAGGCAAAAGAAGTACAGAGTTGCTATAAAATGAAATTATAAATATTGTAGGAGCAACAGATATGAAGGCAGAGTATTATAGATCATCATATTGTCTCTAGGAATAGGAATTTTGAGATATGTATTAAGCATCAAAATGCATGTAAAATCAGCAGACTAATATAGAATCTTATATATGATATGTATATGACATGTGATGTATATCATGTATACATCAGAACAGAGAGGAAGAAAAAGAGGGATAGTTGGACATACTGGGTAATCAAGACAAAACTAAAATCCTCCAGAAAGTGGGGATTTCAGTCTTACTCTCACTCGGGCTTTTGTTCTGGCATATTTTTTCAAGATGTCTTTTTAATACAGCAGGCAGTTCGGAAGGAGAAAGGAACCGCATTCAGTGAGTGGGGAGCAGACCAGAGCTTTGGAACTCATCAAGAAGCTAAAAAATTTGTAGCAGGTTGTCAAGGGAAAAGGTTGCAGAGCAATCTCAAAAGCTCTGTCATTCATTTCTGCTTGAGTATGAGGCCAGTTGCTTGATAGGAACAGGATTCCTTGTCAAAGATGCAAGGATCTAGAACAAGGTTTGTGATCCTGGAACATCTGCAATCAGTGACATTATGATTATATGGATTTTAAAACTTTTCATATCCTTTGTGTCTTTCCCTAATTTGGATCACACATATTTTAATATTTTTCACTTGCATTATTGTGATGCCCTTTTTTATACAAAATATTGAGCTCTGTTTCTGCTGTGTCATCACATCATCACATCTTCTTGAGACTAATATACAATTTTATCTGCTGACTTCTTAATTTTACACTTTGCAGTTCTAGCATGTCCAACTTTTCCTGTGTTTATTAATTTCTGAACATATAAAAACATTCACTTCTTAATCCTGAAACTACATCATCATTGGTCATGTTTCTATCATTTATGATTACTGCATCTTGAATTATTTTATATTTTCTGTGATCATTTCATCCTTTTTTTTCTGGCATACAGAGTTCTATTTGCTTTACTTATATATTTTAATTATATGTGCTGATATATAATATGCTTTAAATATATATTTAATTTATATTAATTGTGTATTTAACAAACTTATTTGAATTTAAATATAGTAAGTTTAAATAATAAATTGAACCTTTAGAAAAGAAGTCAATAAAATTAAGAGTAGATCCTTTGAGTCCAACTAGGTGGTGGATCAGTGTGAAGACACATTTTGGTATCTATGTCTGGTAATTCTGTGTCACTAAGATTTGTTGCACTTTCTGGAGTTTTAACTGGAAACTGCTGTTTTCAGTAAAGATTTTCATTCATCCTGACTCTGACCTTGACTTGAAGCTTGCAAATCTTAGTTCAGATTCATAGGTTCTCCAACACTTTAAACTCCTCTTGTAAAACTGAGTGAATAATGGAAGAAAAATGTGAATTTAAATTGCAGGTAAATAGACAAATGAAGGATGGATTAATGCAGAGATAATTGGATAGATAATTAGGTGGAGAGTTGAAGATACAGAACAACAAATCTTAAAGGGTAAGAATTTGTCTGAAACAGACCATTTCACTGTTCTTTATAGTGGAAATGTTATTATGTTAACTTTGCATATAATATGACAATTAATATTGTAATCTGCTGCTATTTCTTATTTTTAAAAAGATTTTTAAGTTTTTTGAAATCTTAATTTCCACATGCATTTTTCCAAATTGACTGTTCAGTTATTTTTCCAATCAGTTCTGGCACACTTATAAAGCAATATATAATATTTAGATTTGAAGTTTCAGTCTTTTTGATCCTCTATGTTTGTGTATATGTGTGTCTCTAAATACATATGTGGATTTCTCCAAGCATCATTGCTCATTTGCAAATGTTACTGGTCTTAATTTTTACCACTTCACTATTAACTATGTAATTGCTTTTTCAACATACTGAATTATTCAAATTGTGATTAAAAACTAGGGACCGAAGAATTTTTTTAAAGTATTATTACTGTAAAAACACATTGCTACTAATCTCTCTTGCTTTGAACACTTATTTTTCTTAGCACTTTCTGAAGCAGGATTTAGGAATTTATGGCTACCTCCTTGGTTGAATCCTTTCAAAACCTTTACGTTTCATGGTCATTTCGGCTTTGTGGAAAAGTGAGAAGTTGCATGGTGTCAGACCTGGTGAATACGGTGGGTGAGCACAGGAATTGTCATAAATAGTTGACCAACAAGCTGCAATCATAACTCATGGTAAATGTTTAAATTAAAAACTATTTTAAAGAAAATGACCCAATATTATTCATTACTTCAAAATATTTCCCTTCATTTCCAGCGCGTCTCTCCCTTCTGCTTGATAATGTGCTTTTGGTGTCATAAGCTTTTTTAAAGAAATTAAACATTCATTCTATTTGTGATTACCTGTTTTGAAAATAAATGTAATGGCATCATAAATTAGTTTAAAAGTTCACTATTTCCAGTAGTAATTCGTTACATTCTAGAACTTGAGTTTAGCTGTGTTTCTCAGAATAGTTTTATTGTTATTTTTGAAAATTTGTATGAGTATTTTCATTAAAATTATTTTTAGGAGTGCTCACTTTGACAGAGCATATGCTCAAAGTAGAATGATAGTGAAGAGATTGACATGGGTCCTGCGAAAGGATAGCATGCCAATTTGTGAATTATTTCATACTTTTTATTTATAATTATAGAAGAACAGCTTCACCAGTCACCATCACCTCGGCACCAATCTGCACATGCTGGACCCTCCTCAAGGATGCAAGCTCTCTCAGGACATATGTATATTTCCTTAGAGTATGCATACATATATGTATTACCTTAGCGTGTGCATGGTCCATGTTATGGTGTGATGCTGATAACACATATGCTGCAGGAATATGCTTTTCTAGATCTTCAGTAGTACCAGTTCCTCTGGGTTTCTACCTGTACTGAGAGCTGTTTATTTTATGAATTTGCAATGGAATGGACACATGACTGCTAATTCTCAGCCTTAGATTTTCCCAAATGTGTTTGACATTCTTTACAAATGTCACGTTCCAAATGTAGCTCTATTCTAATCCTAAGTCCCATAAGGTTCTCATAATCAGACACTAAGGTTTGTTAGTCACATAAAATCCTTTACCATCGGGATCACAGTTCTCAGCAGCTAATCACCCTCTGGAAACTAATAAATCCTCTTTTACATAGACACAAGCTTCTCTGCTGGGTCCCTTGTCTCCTACTTGTCATACAGAGAATTCCAATAAATCTGTTGACTTGTATCTATGGTTTAATTTTAAGTGGTCTCATTTTCAAAGTGGTGTAGATGCAGGAATTTTGAAAGAGCTTTGTGGAGAAAAGGAAATTGAATATCCCAAAAGACAGTGAATATTTTGTTTGAAACTCTTCTTTCAGAGTAATTTCTTTTATAATAGATTTGAGATGCTGTTTCTCAAGGTAAAATTCCTTACCAAGTGTCTTTGCTCTTTGTCCTTGTAAGTGAAACAGCATATTTTTGTCTCATCCTGAACCTTTTTTCCCCTCAAAGCTAACCTATCAGCAAACATTTTGGATGATATATTGCTTGTGTTCCTCTACTCTTTCCTACACAAGTGATTTTTGTGTTTGTGCAATGAACAGCAGTTATATCAGTCTCATTATTCAAATACAAATAGATAACAGAAAATGTGGGTCTGAATTAAAATTCTGTTACTTGCTGTAAAGCCATGAGCAACTCCAAATAATATTCATTTGGAGACTAATTCTTTACTATGCAACTTAGTGATAAAAAATAATGCTGATCTTACCATTTTTTGTGGTAACTATATTACAGTAAAATAAGCAGAAAGCTAATCTGTATTGTGAGAGCCACTGAAAATATTTTCTGCTTGTAATAATCAGTTTCTCACTGAATTACCTACAAAGTACATAAAACTGAAAAAATGGAATCAGTAGTACAAGCTTTGGTATTTATGAGTAAAAGAAAACCATATTTAGAATTTAAACATTTTTATTCAAAGTTATAGTAATCTGAAGTCTTTCAAACGCCCATTCTTCTGTGATTTATTATGTGAATGCATTTTCAATGGAAAATCAAATTCCATTGTTTGACTTCACATATTTCACAAAATGTTTTAGAAGTATCTTAGATTTGTTACTTTAATATAAAATTACAACTTTAGCCTTCGAACACAAAAATAATAAAATGATCGTCATAAGATCTTCACAATTTTCCAAAAAGTAAAAAGTCTTCTGAAAAAAAAAATCTGTACAAAGTCTAACATATGTTACTTGTGCAACATTTTAGTGAAAGCCTATTTTGAATCCTTTCAGTACCCCTTACAAATTTTCATCCAGGCTATTCTCTAATATTATTTAACAGAAAATAACCTATGCTCTTATAATCTGGCATTAATTCATTTTATCTAGATAAAAGGTCTATTAGCTCACTCAACCAAAACATCATATTTATATGCTTAAAAAGACAGAAACATAAGTTTTAGTTTTAATTATTTCATCCTATTTCAGCTTATCATGGATAACTCACACAAAAAATACTGATAGAAGTTCACTTATAATGGAAATTTTGCGCTTAAGTTAATGGTTTTGATTTTTGAATCAAACCTTTAAAAATATGAACTTTTAAATATTCTTGACAGAATTTGATTTCATAAATATATTGCATATTTGAAAAGTTTTCATTAGGCTATTGCTCAAATTTTCTAAGTTAAAAAATATTTGTATTTGATATAAATTATGCAAAATATCACAAATAAAAGTAAAATTTTTAGGAACATCATGGATGTTTAATATCCTTGTTATTTATTTTCTAGTAAAAAATCATAATAGTTTTAATATCAATATAAATAATATAATATCAATATAAATGTCATCTGATAATTAGATGACCCTAATTCAAATATCTAAACCAAACAATTTAATGCAATTAAAATATCCTACTGAGATGCAAGCATGTTATTCATCTAAAATTTTTATCTCACAAGATATACCTTTCTTAGTTAGGGAAAAACACTTCTTTACATAAAACCAACCTTGACAACATTTGTAAAGCTTATTAATTGAACGTATAAAATGGTAGATTAGCTGAAGGCTCTGTTTCTCTGATTTTTAGCATCCTCCCAAATTAAAATATTATATCCTTCCATTATAAACTGGAATTGAATCCTTCCACTTTAAAAACATGAATATGAAGTGTAATAAATCTGTTTACTTGAGGGAGAATTAGAACAGATCCATATGGAGCTGACCCATGCAGTAAATGCAGATTACTCTCCTTAGGCTTATTACCCATGACAGAAATGTTGTATGCTTTAAATCACCATTTTAATGATATATTTTGTGATAGATTGTGATAATTCATATATATATATATATACATATATATATATACTTTATTTAAGTATATAACTCAATGTTTTTAAATATACTTAAAAAACAGTGCAGATGCTACAATTGATTTAAAACATTTTATCAAAGCAATAAAAATTCCACATTCTTTTCCACCCCACTATATATGCTCCTGTATCATAGCCATAGGCATACAATATTCTGTCTGTACAGATTTGCCTATTTTTTGGTTATCACATGAAGAGAATCATAAAGTGCATGGCCTTTTTTGATTGTTTCACTTATTTTCATGGTACATCAATGCTCTAACATTTATCAATATTTCATTCCATTTTGTTGCCAAAATTATTCCACTGGAGGATATGTTTTATTTCTAAAACATCTTATTTATCGGTCTATCACTTGGCAGTCATGTGAGCTGCTTTCTATCAGTGACCCTTTCCACGGTGCCTTTTATCAAGGACCCCTGTAGTGAGTCCCCAGTCTCCTGTCTGGAGTTACAGCACACAATAAGGAAGAGAAAGAGCAAGAGGCAAGACCTGCAAAGATACAGGGCTCTGGAGTGATCCGTTGTCTCTGAGAACAAAGACCAAGAGTGTCCAGATCGCCACCATTTTGCCAGTCAGTCCAGTGGGCAGGGAGTGGTGCTTGTCAGAACAACTCAGAAGTAGTGGTGATCCTGTGAGTGCCACATCATAAAGGGAACAGCTTAAGATTCCTCCCCACATCAGGGTACTACTGTGTCTTGTATTCTCAGCAGACCTCACCCTACTCTGTGAGCATCACAACCTCCTTGAAGATCAAGATCTCAGAGGTGATCCAGGGGAAGCAGAATTTCCACATTGCAAAACTGGCAGAACAGGCAGACCAAGGAGGGCCTCGGACAGGTATTATTGCAATCCCTAGTTCAAGGTCGCCAACTACTTTCCCTTGTGGGGTGCTTTAAGCAAAGCTTCTTTGAACATTTACACGTGAGTCTATGTTTTAACACAAATTTTTAATTTTTTTTTCTGTTTCTCTATGTGAGATCAGAAGTGTAGGTTTTAGGGTAAGCATAACCTGACAAACAACAGGATATCTTCCAAGGTGAAGATATCACAGTCCGCACTCATTCGCCATGTATGAGCCTTCCGTGTGGGACTCTGGCACCTGCTCTCTACTTAGCATCCCTGTGCACAATACGCTGGCTGCTACATTCTACGAGATCACCAGGCGGGCTTCTGCTACTGTCTTCAGCCTGCTGGAAGAGTGTTTTGCCCGGGGCAGGCCCAACAGCACCTGCCATAAAAACTAAATCTGCCATAGCATCTGCCATAAAAACTAAAAGTCCACTGATGAATTTTTTAAACTGTATCTGAAAATTCCTCTTTACCATTGCCATGCTACAAAACCTGAGGATAATGTACCCGATCATAAACTCTGGTCCTGCCTAGTTCGCAGAAGTGAATTATTCAAGGTCCTAAGCCATTTCAGGGAGCACCTCTTAAAATTTTGCCTGCCATATTAGTAGAATAAACACAAACGTCCTTTAGTGTTGTACAAAACAATAATTTATAAGCCCTTATGTTAACTTCTAAATCATTTGAGAGGCCAATATACATTATATCTCTTGCAGTTAGAGAGATTTCAGCTTCTAACAATACCTAAATTGAATACAAATATAAATTTTTATAGACAGCTCATTTGAAAAAAGGAAATATATTAGTATGATAAAACAAGTTATGATAAATTGTTATAAATCAACTCAACCGAGCCAAGAAAAGTTACAAAACCATTGTAGCCAGTGTTCTCAGAGGAAATCCGTAAAGAAATTTGAGTAGAGACCTGAAAAATGAATATGATGGTGCCATAAAATTGTATAATGAAAGCAATGTTCCAAACGGGAAACATGGAAGTAGAAATTATCATTTCTGGGGCTACAAAGGAAGATGCATATTATGATACGCTTGCAAAAAAGACAAAACTCAGGCAGTCCTGTAGGCAATGGAAATGAAAGGAAACAAAAGCAAAATATGTTTTCACTTTAATTGAAATGGAAAGTAATTAGGAAACTTTGTGTAAAGACAATAATGACATTTTAGAAGATTTCTTTGGCTATTGTTCTGGAGAATTGTATTTTAGCAACTAAGAATCCCAAGAAAGAGGAAGGGATACCAGATAATAGGCAGAATATAATTTTAAGAGCTTCAGACTAAGGCAGTAGCTTTTGACATAGGATGAGGTAGAGGGATTAGAAATGTACTGTGGCAATAGAACAAATGGGACTTTGAATTCAGCTGGAATGCTGTAAAGTTAAGGGCAGAAAAAAACATATGCCCTTACTCATTCA